CCAGAGGATTTGTCTTTGAAGTGATTGAGGCTACCAGTGCACCTGCACCCCACCCCCCGACCTGTGAATGAGAGCCTATCATCTCAGCCTTTCCCCCATTTTCCACCTTTGTCTTTTATTTCCCTATTCCTGACAGCATTTGCAGCACGCTCTCGAATTCACCCCCGATTGCCATGTTGATATCTTCTTAAGGAGGCTGGCTTCGTCCCCTCCCTTCTATGTGCACATATATACATACATATATATATATAAATAGAAAGGCTGACGCCCCTTCCCGCCGATCCCAAAAGCAAGGCAAAGCGCCGGAGAAAGCAAGTTCCTGATTGGATGGAACGAGACTGGCAGAATGGATCTTTTTGTATGACTTTTTTTTTGGAGAAACATGCCCGAAGTCGTCCGAGTCCACCCCACCCCGTCTCCAATGGGCAACAAATTCCACGTCTCCAAGGGCGTCGTATGTGGCTGCAGACACGCCCATACATGTCCGCGCCGCAATCAAATTCCATGACCAGAAAATATTCCCCAAAGTTGGTTGGCCAACGTTATTTTATGAAGGCAGTAGAAGTCAAATCTACACATCCATTTTTGATCCTCTCTTGATTCTTGATCCACTGACGCACACTCCCAAACAATCTTAAGCCCTCTTATTGTCCTCTGACGTAGACTCTCCCAAAGCTCGGCAACTTCCCTCGCACAGCCATAATTCCACGCCCAAAATGATTACAGTAGAACATTGCCATCAAAAGCTGCTTGGCCACTGCCAAACGTCACTTTCTGACAGCAGTAAAAGTCAACTCTAGATCCATTCTCAACCCTCTCTTTATCCACCGACGTAGCCTCTCCCAAAGCTCGCCGGCGATTTCCCTCGCCACACCGTTGCGCAATGTAATTCCAGGCCCCAAAAGTTGGTCTCTCGACCCTTTGTGTCTCAGTCGGTCTGTCAGTCTGTCTATCTGTTGGTCGGTCGGTCGGTCTGTTTGTTTGTGACCGATTTCTCATGGAGTGTCCTCTGGCGCATTTTTCGGCTGGGGTCGGCGGATATACATATTTATATATATATTTTTTTATTTCTTTGAATGTACATGGGACGATATGCAGATATGTGCTGCAAAGAAAAGCAGCCAGCGCAGCTTTGTGGGACTGGCAAGTTGGTTTTGACCCACCGATTCTAGTTTTAGGAGTCAAAAAGGGCAAGTGGGCAAGCATGTTTTGTAGAAATCAAGTGCAAACTGAGCAGGCAGAACAAAGCCGGGTCTACCTTAACTTCAATGTATGCCTCATTCATTTTGTAAAGCATTATATAAACGGACAGGCATTTAGGACAGAAGACGGGCCGGCACAAGTCGGAGTTCCAAGGAGTCGGACACCACCGATGCCAAGCCCGGGCACTCTGATGAGGGGATCGATTGCTGCAGTAGACTTGGTGGACCGTTTGATCCTGCACGGGAAGAGACTTCAAACATCTTCATACTAGCAAAGCCTTAGATAGTTTGGACCATCAGGGATGCTCTGACCATCAGTATGGACGCACTGTGTGTGTGTGTGTGTGCCAGTCCAGGACGCACCTAATGCATAGTTTCCTGTGAAGAGACTTGACACAATTTGCCACAGCAGATTTCACAGGCAAGCGCTTGAAATTCAGCTGCAAGACAAGAAGAAGAAAAAGCCAGAGCCTTCAGTATTGCGCTGCAGCTGAAGGGATACGAAGACCCAACAGAGTATTGACTTCAAACGTGTGTGTGGCGAATTTATCTATAGGAGTGCGCAGAGTACTACTTGTGGAGACTGGCAGGTCGCATAGTCAAGGCAAGACAACAATTAATTGACAACGGGCTGTTCAGACAACCGCTTCGAAAGCCTCAAAATGATGTGCGTAGGGATGTTCAAAGCATCTTCAAAGACCATGGGACCGTAGCACCTGTGCTTTGTTTCATCATGTGACATGTGCTGTGTCATGTTGTGGCCATGTGCCGGGTTGCACTCGACCCGAGGAGGCCAGCCATTGAGGCAGGCCATGCCATCACGGTGTGGCCTCCCAGCAGAAGCATGATATCGCTGGAGTTTGGATACTGGGAAAGGACTTTAGAATGGCTAGAGTCTAGAGCTCTAAGATGCCGCAAGCCTAGAGGGCAAAGAATCCGTGTTTGCCAAGCCGACAGGAAAGACAAGAGCTCGGAAAAAGAAAACCATATCTAACCAGGTGTGACTATGGCCACCCGATGTCGTCATGGTTGAATGTACAAGTGTTACTTTGCACGCCCACGGCAAATGTTGTGAGGCTGGCTTCCTCGAAGATGCAACTCGGGCAGAATTGGGGCTGGTGATGAAAGTACTTTAAGTTGACTGAGAGCAGAACTCGCCCTTTAGTGACGTGTTGATTTGGTCGTGGCTGAAAAGGGTCAATGAGTCTGATACCTCAAAGTGCTCAATTTGACTTTCAAGAAGGGATCTCATGCTCTCTTTGCAGATGGATGGATATGTGGAACGACCGAGGATGCTTCCGTGGATGGACCTAGCGTCGCCGACATTAAGAAGCACGGAGCCTTGGTAGGCTGGCTTTTGCTTGGATGCCACGGAATAAGGTGAAAATGGGACACAGGTCGAGTCAAAGCGAGAACGGCAGAGGTTTAGCTGCGAGTCTTGCAGCTTCGTATCGGAAACATAGTAGGAACCGATATATGCAGAAGCTTCTCGTCTTGCAACCAGCTTTTTTCCACGACCCACATGTGTGCACGGGTTTCCCGCTTGAGTGCCGGCCTAAGCCGGTGTGCATGTTTGATTCCTTTTTGTTTATTTTGCGAATTGAACATAGGATCGAAAATAGGGCCAGTGATTGGGCTAGTGACTTTGGACTAAGTGGACCAATTCATGGACTCTCGGAGCTTGGACTCATTGGGTTCCTTCATTCTTATTCCATCCTTCGTTCGCATTTTTGTTTTTCACATCTTTGCACAGCCATCCCGTTTTAGCGTCGCTCCTAGTAGTAAGGCCAGGAGCCCCGATCGTAGCGTCCGATCGTAGCGTCCGATCGTAGCGTCCGATCGCTCCTAGTAGCGATGCCAGGAGCCCCTAGTAGCAAGAATGCTCCTAGTAGCGATGCCCTAGGCTCCTAGTAGCTCCTGCAACATGCCTTTTTGTTGGTCTCAAAGGCTCTTTTGCATCCTGAGGCAATATCGACCAGTCGGGCACTTGGAAGACCTCAAATTACTCGTTATTTTTGTCCGTGACTCGTCCATTCCAGCTTCCCACTTTCACATCGCTTTGGAAAACAATTCCCCCAGATTCCGCCCTGCAACTCTAGCAAAATTTGGTCCCTGCAAAGGTACGTAGGCAAGGAACAAGCTGACAAGCAGCTAGCAGCCAAGGAACATCAAGGACCAGTCAAGCAAGCAAAAATTAAGAATTCCTATCTATTTCTGAATGTGTTGTGGCAAGCAAACTGTTGTGGCAAATTTGCAGACAACCAAGAGTATATAATCCTGTTCGTTTCAGGTAGGTTCAAGAGTATTGGCAGAGTGTGCCAAGGCCAAGCGGCCCAAGAATGAGTCGCCTGTGCCGTGATGTGAAAAGAGCCCACACTAGTGCTTGGTTAGGAAGACGCTTGACTCTGTTGGCTGTTGGGCACGTTGTGTGAACATTGAATATTACCTGTGTGTGTGTTTGTCGTACAACAGTGGTGACGATGCCTTGGACATTTGGTTTGGACAGAGGTTAGGCATTCGACAAATTGTCAGTGAGGCACATTGCACCATTTGAACTGGCCCCGGGTGTGCTTTTCTATTGGCTCAGACTTGAAAGGGAACACCGAAGCCGTCAGGGCGCAGGAGCGTGCTGAGAAAGCCTTGCAGTTTGTCTACAGAGTCTACCTGCATGCATTTACTTTCAAACGTTATATATATAAGCAAATGTAGTGAGGTGTGAGTCCCAACCTAACTTCAAATCTGCAAAACGGATGCTTAGCAATAGGCCACCTGAGATCAGGAGGTTAAGTTTACCTTGAGTTGTGCTTTCCTGCGTCCCAGTCGCCTAGTAGCTTCCCAGTAGCTTCCTTGTGACTAGTAAGCTTACCTCTACCTGGTACTTTTACGCCCAGGACTCATGGTTTGCTCCCAAGCACTTTGAGGGGGCAGTACATTCCCTGTACATAACAATCCGAAAGGGACTTTAGGTATGTGAAGCTTTATCATTGGCGATTCGATGACAGTATTCCTACAATATTGGGAGACTTTTAACACTCCAACTATTTACGCTCAACAATGACCAAGTTCTCAGAAATGTCGTGCAAGTAACAGTGCAAACCCCAAACCCTAAAACCCTAAGCCGATAAATCCCTTTAGCGAGCCAGGCATCCTGGCACTACTTTTACCTACCTTGTAGCCTCACACCATCCCTGTATCCTATAATTAATGTGCATTAATACAACATAACCATTTAATCTAATATGCGTACATCTCACACATGCTTAATCTGTAGTAGAACACATGTATTCTCAGGCATGGGCGCCTTTCTGGCAGGTGTGAGCCTTGTGAGCCTTTTTGACTAGTTTGTACTTAACTGTCTTCTGGGTTGTTTTGTTCAAGAAAACTGTGTTGAAAATGATTAGAAGCTCGAGCAAAACCAAGATGATAGCTATTTCTTTAGTCGTATTCCTGCTCGAATGCCACTGGATATGTTTGTGTTTGTCAACGCCTTTGCGGTGAGTACAACTCTGTATTTTAGTATATGAAATGTCGAGGGGAAGCCCATCCACAGAGCTGCATAATTCGAGAACATGCCGATGACTCATGAATACAAAAATGCATGGACATGCAGAATACGAGCAAACCGACTGAAACATGTTGATACTGTCACTTTGTGTTGTATTCGATAAGTATCTTCAAAGGACCATTTTGAACATTCAAGCGTCCGGAGCACTTCTGAGGCCCATCAACTCAAAAGGACTCTGGAGATGGCAGGCACAATCCGCAAATGACATGAAGGGAAGACTGGAAATGGAATAAATCTGATTAAGAATGGAATGATGCAAGGAATGCACAGAACAAATCCATGTATATCATGCGCAAAGGTTTTGATCAGTATTTAAGCAAACTCGAGTCATGCCTGGTAGCTGATTTGTGGTGGTTCTCAGTGTGCCTCTCAAACAGACCTGACGGAAGATCCATTCCCATAGACACGTCTTAGCGATCGGACGTTTGTTGTTTGACGTGCATCCTTTTGCAGCTGTTTACAGTCCAGCTGGTGTAGAACTTTGGCTTTTCTCATCCTGACAGTGATCTCTTCGCCACATGAGCGAAGGTTCAATACAATGGGAGAATGTCTCAAATATTTCAGTTGCGTATCCACTGGAGCCCAGTGATCTGGAATTGGGAAGTGTGCAACTGCACTGGACTGAAAGGATAAAGCATCAGATTTTGCTTTTACGACTACAGAGGCCTTACTTCATCTATTGCCTCATGTGCTCCTTCATTGCTGCAACTGCATTTCTGTCAACATTGATCGACTTGTGCTTTGGCAGTGAAAAAGGCTGGCATGATATTCTCGAAGGTGGGACGTGGCAAAGTGCATGCTGGTCAGCCGTCAGTCTGGCGTTGTTTGCAGAGGTGCTCTCAAATTTGTTCATCAATTGGCCAGTGAAGAGCTTTTCCCAAGACTGGTGGCTGATTTTTGATGTGACCCTGCTAGTACTAACAGTGCCTTGGCGGGAAAGCACAGTATACTCAGTTTACTGTCTATGATGTTTGTTGCTGTTCGGTGGATGCACCTTGTGTTGGGTCCGTGGCATATGTTGCACGAATGCTCTTAGGTATTTGCTTGGGCGCTGTCACACTGGAGGAGAGCGACAATCATGCGTCGCGCAGCCGCAAACTTTCCACTCCTTTGCTGTCATTTTTTGCAACTGCTCTATATATATAAATTTGCTGGACTTGTATCGGGTTCCGTGTTCCAAGGTGAGGAAGCAGAGGAGGCAGATCTTTGGCTCCTGGGTGAGAAGCAGAAACAGCATGAAACGTAATGTCAATAGTCGAAAAGAAGGGGGCTCTAGTCAATTTGTCAATTCATGTCCAACCCGGAGACAGGGTTGGCGCAGCAGTACGCTCATTCGGGCCCTTCCAAATCAGAATTGGAGCATGTCCAAAGCACTTCCTTGTCTTAGCTCGTCAAGCTCCACCAAGGCTCATTTTCCTGCGCTTTGCTTTACAACCCTGTCGAGTCTTTGCATCTGCCGCGAATGCGCGGAAAGTGCAGCAAATGCAGAAGGGTTGTGTGCCTTGGACCAATGGCTTTGCCAATATTGATTTAGTCCTTCCAATATTGATTTAGTCCTGGGAGCCCTTTCGATCACAGGCTTTAGGTAATTGCATCCAGGTTTGGCTTGGTAAAAGACAGCCATTGCTTCGCTTGCTTGATCTGAATTTTCAGTGTGAGGTGGACATCAAATTCGACGGGCTCGGTCGCTGCAGCAACAGTTCCCTAAGTGGACAGGCTAACCGGAGCGAGTAGCGTCACCCGAGGCAAAAAGAACGATACAACACGTTGGAGAGGTTGCTCCGCCATGGCAGCTCAAGAATTTCTGAGTTTTTTAGCCTCTAGCACGTTCCCAAGGGTTTTGAGTTCTTCCTGTCAGGTCCGTGCAAAATGGTATTGAGTGGGGCTACAGCGCGATGCAGGGATGGCGCATGCACCCAGTCAATCTGGTCTAAGCAGAGGACAGCAGTGCATGAACGATCAACCCCACACTTTCTTGGGCATTGAGGGCCCACCACAGCGTGTTCTCCTTGAGTAAACAGGCCCATACCTGCAGAGGCATTCGGAAAACTCCTATCCATGTTCAACGGTCATAAAGCCACTACTCACTGAGAGTGAAGACACGCGAACATAAGATATATGTCTTCATGTCAAGGCAGTTCTGTGTTTGAGTGATATCAGTGATATCAGTGATACACCCAAAAAATCGCTGATTAAAGGCAAGAAAAAGAGTCCTACACTCAATTCATTGCATGTCCTGATTATTTCATGGCCCAGGCGAGAGCGAATGGAGGATGCCCACATCGCCAGGGAACATGGCAAAATGTCCTGTTTGTATTGAACAAACTGCCTAGGATAGAATTGGCTCATGACTAGAGAGTCTACTAAGGGTCTACGACATTCACTCTTCACTAATTTTTGCACCCTTTCTCTCAGCTCACAAGAGAACATGACCTCTGTGCCCAGTGGAGTTCTTTGTGATTCTTCTTTTTGCAGTTCCATATCCACTCACCCAAGGCCTTGGGCTCCTTGCCCTCCAGCAGGGGGCTTAGCAGAAACTATATATATACTTCTAGCTTATTCATGAGTAGGGAGATGTAGGGAGTAGCTATGTCAGGCCATGCTCCATCTACAGTGCTGTAGTCCAACTTGCCGTGGTGACCAGGTTCTCGCTGGAACGAAACCTCCCTCTTTGCTGTAATGGCAGAGACCTCACAGATTGGGTCAAGGGAAATTGAAGACATGACCAGGTGGAATCTGGACGGGCGCCAAATTGCTGAAGCATGAAAGACATGCCGTATGAACAGTTGCACCAGCGTCACTGATTCTTTCTTGAGCTGTATGTAATGTTTGATGTGTTCAATAGTTGCATTGGTTTGTGTTAATGATGTACCAGAGGCAGCTGTAGCCCCAAGGACGGACATGGAGGTGAGCAAGTTGCCCAGCCCAAGCCTTAACACAAAGTGTCTATCCTTCTCCAGTTCATCAGCGATTCGTCAACAGTGGAGCAGCTTCATATCTTGTTGTTGCTTCTCCGCGTCGTTTCTATGGTAGACACCAAGGACTTGGGTTTGCTGTCAATCAGACTCAGGTTTTGCCGTCGTCATCTACCATCAGAGTTGGTGATTTGCAAGGGGCAGGACTCGATTCTGGGCGAGCATTGGATATTCTTCAAGTTTATGATTGTAGCAATGCGTGTCCAACTCAAACCGTCTTCGCCGAACAGACACGCATGGAAATCAGAGAACAAGGCGGGATTCAGAGATTGCCAGTAGTAGCTTCTTGCTCCTAGTAGCGATGCCCTTGTTCCTATAGCTTCTCGTTACTAGTAGTATGGCCAGGAGCTACAAGCAGCGTCCTTGCTCCTAGTAACGATGCCCTGTCAGGACATGGGCGACTCTTTGGTTCGAGCCTTCCATCGCATGGTGCGCCACGAAGTATGGGTCTTCTGAATGCGCGGAATTTCCCCAGCGACCAACTTGCCAAACCAATATTCCCAAGAGTTGACCTGTTCCTTTGACTGTTCGTTGTTCAGGCAGTCGGTGTCTTGACGATATTATACATTAATATACACACACTTCCAGATAAGTCTGGCAGCCTAATTTGTTTGTATGACATGGTGGCATGAAGCGCAGTGACATGTTGAGGCTTGGAAGTCAAGGATATCTTCTAGACGTTACATCCACTGCATCCCACTCTAGAGATTTGAAATTTAGACCTACTGTAACAATACTGAATGGGTACAGTAATGATAGCTGATAGCCTGGATGGGTACAATTTGGATATTGCGACACCATGGACACTCGACCCGGTCAGGATGAGCGCCTCATGGAACCAACCGTCATGGAAGAGCTGAAGTCCTTGGGCCACGGGGTCGGCAGCTTTGGGAGAGCTTCACTCTGAATGCTTTGGGTAGCTTTCAATGTGTGTGTATATATATATATATATGATTTTTTTCTGCGGTTCTTTTCAGACTGCATGCTCAAGATCGGCCTTTTGCCGGAAGCAGACTGGAAGTTTAGTCTGCAGTTCATGGCTCTTGCATTGGTTTTGCAAGGCCTTGCTTGCTCTGAATGGAGTCGTCAGAGCATGGGCTTTGCAAGCGACACACCAAAGCTTGCCACCCCGGCGCCACAGTTTGTGACTGCTATGCCCTTTCCAACCTGCCTCTGGGCTCCAATGCTGGTTCCAGCACTGCTTGTGAGCTAGCTCTAGAAGTTTCTCCTTCGAAGAGTTCTTGAGAAGCTTCACATGGCACTTTTCACACGAAATGTAGTTGGTGGCTTCAACAAAGCCATGCGGTGCCATGTTGGGGATCTGGCCCTGGATCATCTGTTGCCGAAGTTCCTGCTTGGTCTGACTGGTTGGTTCGCCACCAACAAGAGGAGGCTGTGGGTTGTCTGCACAAGTCTCATCTTTGCCAGCCAGGATCTCTTGGTATTGATTGTGCATCGTGAGGCGGCACTTGCATTTGGAACATTGGACTCCCTTGCCTTTGGCCATCCAAGCATGTTTGCCTGGAGCGGTGTGGTGTCTCAGGCTAGTGAGTGCTTCCTGTTTCTTGGTGCGTGCTTCATCACGCTTTTGCTTCCCGGTTTCTCTGGCCTCATTCAGGAAGTGTTGCTTGTCACTCAACAAGTGCTTGATGCGCTGTATTGCCAGTGGTGCAATGCGTTTGTAACGCTGGTCTTGAGCCCTCAAATCTTTTTCTTGTTCCACAGGTTGCAACGACAAGGCCACTTCTCTGGCCGCCTTGGTCGCGTCCATCATGCGATTGCGGAGTGACCATTCGTTGTTGGGCATGTCCTTGAGCTGCTTGGCATTGATGCACAAAACTCGGATTCTTTGTTTTTGATCCCAAGTGATCAAATCTCGCAAATCATGAAAGACCTCAGCATGTTTGTTTTGTTGCCGGCACTCCCATGCACGTGTGCTCTGGACATGCACAACAAGCCTCTGATGCAGAGTCACGTAGTGGGCTGTCATTCTAAGCCCGTAGTACCATGCACGTTCCCAGCTTTGCTTGCCTGGCAATATTGCTATCACTGCTCCTTGTCGATAGAGCTGTCCTCCAATTTGAGTGTGGTGCACAATGGAGACTGCGTAGTGTTTTAGGCCCGGCGACTGTCAGCCGAGGTGCTGGCTATCCCAATTGTCACCATATGTGGATGCTCAATGCGAGCTTCATCTTGTGTCGTCCAGGTTCCCCAGGCCTGAACTGATGCTCCTCCTGTGGCCAGATTGAGCGCCGGCGCCATGAGCAGTCCTTGAGTCCAGAACTCAAGGTTCAAGCCATGTTCCAACTCAAACTGATCTTCTGCTGATAGTGCTGGAAAATGTCTCTTTGTCTCCTGGCACATCCAAAGTAGGTGTACTGGAGTTGCTGGTCGGGCACAGTGTGGGCACATGAGATGTTGCCCTTCCATCCCATCACTGAACTTTGTGAAAAGGGCCCCTTGGTGCCATGTCTGGAGTGCACAAGCATTGTGCTGGTTGAGCGTCTTCTGCATGCGTTTCCAGGGCATCCAATCAAGAGGTTGTTGGACTTCTTGTAGCATGCTTCTGGCTGCAGTCCTAAGCAAACGATCACTGTTCTCGGCCCTTTTGAGTTCAGCCTTGATGGTCGGCCAGGCATCAGTCAGGTGAATGCGGAACTCCGGTGCTCCATTGCAGGCATCTTTGGTCCATTCTTGAAAGCTGTTTGCCGTCCAACCTTTCTCTAGGAGGTAGCGTTGCAATGCTGCCATGGGTCCACGAGTCACCTGCCAAGGATGAGCCGCTTGAGCCAATCTGTCCTGCTGATGTGCCCAGGATTTCTCTAAATCTCTCCTCAAGGCTTCAGGCCACTGTCCAGCAAAATGCCGAAAAATCTTGACCTGATCGTAGAAGGCAGCATAGTCGGGATCTTGATGGCCTCCACGCATATCGAAGACTATGTCTAAGTTCCCTGTTCTTTGGTGGCCAAGCTGCCTTCCCATAGTTGCACGAATGCGTTTTCGGACCTGGGGTGCCAGGCCCATGGCCTCGTGTCCCCAGCTAATGCTGGCCAGAATGCTGCCCTTGTACAGTCGAAGTCTGATGGCCCGCTGTGGTATCTTCAAGGCTTGCATCTTCTTCGTCTTCTTGTGTGCTTTGTATCTTCTTGACCTCATTGCTGCAATGCGCCTCAAACGGCCGGCGGTGCAGTCGACGCCCAGATCACGCATCACATCATGAACACCAGGCCCGTTCTTGGGAAGTTGTTCAAGCAAGAGCTTCTTGGCCGTGTTGTTGGAAGTGATGAACCCAGTCTTTTTGTCTGAGACCTTCAAATTGTCAGCCTCCAACAAGCTTTTGATGTAATTGAAGGCTGCTATGGCCAAACGAACCGCATTTGCAGGATCACGATCAACAATATCAAAACTGAGGTCGTCGATCCAGAGGTCTACCTGCAGTTGTGGGTACCGCTTGCAAAATGCACGCAAAGCTCCTTTGAGGTAGATTTTTGCAGCAAGCGGCGCTTGTGGGTCTCCTGCAAGGATGCCATGTTGGGTCCAGATCACCTTGGAGGCTTCACCTTCTGCTTCCAGAATTCTGCTTCCACAGTAGATTTGCATAGCCAATGCTGCGTGAGTGGCCGGGTAGTTGGAGTCCAACCAACGTTCGGACAGCTTCTCAAGGTCAATCCGGTCATAGAAATTGGACATGTCCATGAAGACTGAGACAACTGTTCTTTTGAGCGCTTGATGATGCTCCGTCATGAAGGCCCTCTTCAATGCAACTTTGAGACATTCCGT